TTGAATAAAATTTCAAAATTTTCGCTAAAAAGAAGGGCTTCTTACGGGTTAAAAACAGAGTTGCGTCGTAATTGAAAAATTTTTTTCGTAATCGTAATTCGTAATTTTCAAAAAAATTTCGGAATCGTAATTCGTAATTCGTAATTGAAAAAAATTTTTCGTAATCGTAATTCGTAATTCGTAACTGAAAAAATGCCGTAATTCGTAATTTGTAATTTTTCAAAAATATTTAAATTAATTTTAAAAAATCAAATATCTATTAATAATTGCTGCTGTTACCATAATCCCTCCAAGTCTCTTAATCCTAATAATAAATCCTCTCCAAGTCTCTTAATATCTCTTAATCCTAATAATCCTCCGATATCTCTTCAATCAATGATGCGGAATCATTGTCCAGATTAAAGTTTGATATCATGTGAAATCCCTCTCACTTAATCCTGAGCCAAAACTCTTATATTTTCTGCGCCGCAGGCGAAAATTTTTAGAAAATTCATGACTAAATTAAAAATTTTAGAGTTTTTTCAATTTTGAGAATTAAAAATATAAATTTACAAACCTAAAATTACAATCAAAGTTTAAAAACATTTATTTTTGAAAAAAATGAATTGTATAAATATTATTTCCCACACCTGGCTTTTAACCCACTCAACCACCGATAAACAAAAGCAACAGCGAGAAAAAATATAAATATTTTAAATATTTCTTCCCCTTCTCATTCTAAAATTTAATGGCAAAATTATTTTCGTAATTCGTAATTTTTCCCTATATTTTCGTAATCGTAATTCGTAATTTAAAAAATTTTTTCGTAATCGTAATTCGTAACTGAAAAAACACCGTAATTCGTAATTCGTAATTCGTAATTCGTAATTACGACGCAACTCTGCTCCCCAAAGAAAACGGAAAATGTATTAAAATATGCCAATTGTGATAAAACTATATGCAACACAAAAGAATTTTTTGAGAAGAATTTGTTTTGTTTGAATAAAGGAAAGGAAGAGAAGAATCACTTGAAGGGAATAAAACAATGCAATATGAACAATGCTTTGTTTTTAGAGATTCTGATGGCAAGGGTAAATATCAACAGGAATTCCGCTTTTTTACCCTTCCACGTTACACTTCCTCCTTTTTAAACTATGGGAGGGGAAAAACGGAAAAATTGAAATTTGTGTAGTTAACCCCCCCCCATAAGCCACGCCCCCGTTTTATTCTAGTATTCTTTCTTATAAAAAAGAAAGGAAAAGTGGCCAGCAAAATGAATCTTCTTTTGTGCTTTTATGTGTCTAGTTGTTAAACTTTTTTGTGCATAGAGAACTCTACTAATCAGAGTTGCAGCTGTAGGTAACAAGGGGCGGGGCTTATGGGGGGATTTACACACGCGACCTTAGGTTCTAAAGTGAAGGGCTGGGTACTTATCGGCACAGAGCAAGCTGAAATAAAGGGAAATATTGACTCGAAAGTAAAAAAGGAAGATAAAAGGAAAAGGGGGCGGGGCTTATGTGGGTGGGGGAAACTACACAAGTACCTAAAATGTATTTAAAAAATAATAATAACATAATTAAAGTTGAGCAAGGTTGTGGAAATTGTCAAGGAAAGGATTCTAAAGATTGTTATGCCTGCAAAGAGAACTATTGTAACGAAGAAAAAAATGTTTACAAGCATTGTTGGGAAAATAATGGAAAAGGTATCACGACTTTTGCGCCGAGAACATTTGCGCCGCGACTTTTGCGCCGCGACTTATGCGCCGGGGGACTTTTGCGCCGCGACTTTTGCGCCGCGACTTATGCGCCAAGCGACTTATGCGCCGCGACTTTTGCGCCGGGCGACTTATGCGCCGCGACATTTGCGCCGCCATAATTTAAAAAAAATATCTACAGAGGGACCTAATTATAGGGTACTCCTTAAAAAATGGTATCCAGGAGCTGAAGGAATTTCAGGAAGTGCAATATTTCGGGACAATAGCCCCCTCTACAATAGCCCCTCTAATAAAACGACTCCCTAGAGGAAGGTTAAAAAATAAACCAACCCTCTAGAGGGGTCATTTTCAAAGAACTTGACTTTTTCGGATCAGGATATTTGGTCTGCTACCCCTATTCAGACAAGATTTACTGCCTGAAGAGGGTGCACTATAGTGTAGGATTGTCGAGTCCAGATATACAGATCTGAAAAAGGCCGGATAGCCGAAAATTTTAGGTCGGATATCGGATCCGGATCTTGATATCCGAAGATCTCCAACTATCCTACATCTTCTAAAGTGAGTTCCGGCTGTAGTTTTTCATAATTATTAATGATAGTGGCGGCGCAAAAGTCGTCCGGCGCAAAAGTCGCGGCGCAAACGTCGCCCGGCGCAAAAGTCGCGGCGCAAAAGTCCCCCGGCGCAAAAGTCGCTCGGCGCATAAGTCGCGGGGCAAAAGTCGCGGCGCATAAGTCGCGGCGCAAATGTTCTCGGCGCAATAGTCACGGAACCATGGAAAAATATGTAAAAATAAATATTTGGAATAGTGTTTCACAGAGAGGACAAAAACAAATGGAGGTATTAAAATGAGATAGAAACAGATTTTTATTGAAATAAAATCGCAAAATATGGCCATAAAATATTAATAAGTTGACAAACCCTGAAAGGGGTACAGTCCAAATAGGCGCGCGGCCATAACGGCGTTTAGCCATAACTTGCTTCAAAAATTTCTGAATCTTACCAAATTTAGTGTTAAACGATTCCTCTCATCGAGCTGAAGAGATTGGTACCAAAATTGATAAGGGCCAGAAATTTTCCAGCAAGTTAAGGCTTTGCGCCGTTATGGGGGCGCGCCTACTCGGGCGAGTCCCTGATTAATGATAGTGGCGCAGATGCGCTCGGCGTATTTATATTCAGATTTAACTAAATTTCGTTTATTTTACAGTAAATAGAGGATGTGGAAAGTGCCCCAGTAAGACATGCGAAACATGCAACAAAAACCGTTGTAATGATAGAAAGGACCTCAAATATTACTGTAAAAGCAAAAAGGGTGAGAAGGAAATGATAAAATGTGATAAACCTGAATGCTACATTAAAGCCTTGAATGAGGCTAAAAATGGTTAGTTGTCACTAGAGTTTAAAATATGGAGAATGCCGGATACGTTTTCGGAATTTAGAAATATTTTAACTAGTGAACGGAATTTAGTACCGTATTATCGACTGTAATACCAAGAAATAACGAGAAATACCGATAGTTTTTCATCAGGTAGAATATTCCGTACCGTACTAACGATACGGAATACCGATAAATACCAAGAAATACGGCCGTATCTTGAGAATTTTGGAGGGCCAAGAAGCCAGATATCTTCCCTTTTCAAAGCCAACAAAAATAATGACACAAAAAATTGGAAATTCCCGATTTTCTGTAATAGGGAATTTGGTCGGTGCGATCCCTGATAGACTAGTTATCTTATTAAAAATGTGTATAACAGGAATGCGCATCATGGCGTTTTGGCGTGATTTTTGGCCGTTTTTGGCGTTCTGGCGTTTGACGTGATTTAAAAATTTGAAAAATTGCCGTTTGGCGCGCCACGCAAAAATTTTGGCGCACATCCCTGTTGTATAATAGGAAAAAATTATATGTTTAGAAATAAGAGCTAATAAATGAGTATATCTTCCAATTAAAAAATTTTAGAGTTTGATTTTGGCTGTGGGAGTTGCGTAGATTCGGACTTAGACTGCGCACAATGCAAAAATGGGACTTTGTGTAATATGAATCATTCTTCAAGAATGTAATATATTGTTGGCAGAATCTTTCTTGGTGGACTATAGAACAGAAGAGCCTGAAAACAGAATGTGAAGGTGGATGTTATGTTGCAAGGTATCCTTTAGGAGACGATTTGGTTGAAGACGGTTTGTTTAAACACAAAAAATATTTCTTATCAATAAATTAAAGTCGCCCAAGGCTGTGGCGACCCTTGTCGAAAGCTCGTCTCCGGAACTGACTGCAAAATTTGTAATACAAAATATTGCAATGTACTAAGTCTTGTTCCAAAACACTGCTTGGGTAACAACGGGACTATATGTAAAACATCGTTTGAAACTCCTTGTTTTGTGGAGAGAATGAAGAATAACACAGGCAATATCTAAATATACATATAGATTTAGGGAACAGGCCAATATACCGCGAGTCCAGTATACCGCCAAGATATTCAAAATTGTCGAATCCTGGATGCCCTGGTATAGTTTGAACAGTTTGTCAAGCACATCGAACCATACAAGGAGCCTGTTCCACAAAGCGGCATTGACATCGAATGTCGCGACATTTGTCAATCGCTTGACATTCCGATTGCGATTGCGTTCCACAAAGCAACTTCAAAATTATTTTGCGACATCGACATTTGGAATAGGCCCCAGGGCGTTCCGGATTCAACAATTTTGAACTAAGCTGTCTTGGCGGTATACTGGCCTCGCGTATAACAGGAAATTTAAATAAAAATTTCTTTCTTATTTAAGAAAACAAAGGATGTGGAAAGTGTAATTCTACCTCGTGTAGAGACTGTCAAGATAGTAGTTGTAATAATTGGACGGATACTTATTACTGTAAAAGTGTTGAAGAGATTAACGGTGTTAAGGAGTGTAATAAGAAAGATTGCTACATTGTAAAGTTGAATAAAGGTACAGTAAAGCAGCTGGGCTGTAGCCGATTTCTCTCCTTTAGCTGGTGCAAAAGGTTATCGGCTGCTGAATGCAAACCAGAATCCTTAGTAGACCGGACTGATGTGTTATCCATTACACCCGGGGATTCCCTGGGGCTGGAGGCTTCCTGGGGCTGGACACCTCCATCTCCAGGGAAAACTGCCCCCTTTTCCTATGCCCTCTTCCCGCTTTTTCTCTTGCCTTGCGGATACTATTGAAGTATAGGGTAAATCTGCTTATTCATGGTCAGAGGCGCTTTACCGAGGGGCCGGTCTGATGTAGGAATACGTCTAGCCGAATTTTAAACACTTAGGCGGGGGTTAAACTAGCATAAGGATAAAAGGTAAAGCATTAGTCCTAGCTCAGTCGGTAGAGCACCTGTATATGGTGAGCGAAAGTGCCTAGCAATACCTAAGAGGAGGTCGCAGGTTCGAATCCAGCCTAGTGGCCAAACTTTCGCTGGGCTCTTGATCTGAGTCCACTTGGACCTCCTTTTTGGGACGTATATACTTTGATGGGACGCTTAAACTTTCATGGGACCATGCCCCAAACTAGAGCCATGATTTAGAATTTGAATTTTTCAGTCGGAAATCATAATGAATACTATTACGATTGTGGAAAGTGTCCAGTTAACAACGAATTCTTCAAAAATACATCCAATGTATCCCTTACCAAAAAATTGGTTGGAAAAAATTTGAATGAAATTCAATGTGCAGAATGCAACAACAGTCCCTTGTGTAATACTGAAAAGTTTCTCGAGAAGCAATTGTTTTGTTTGGAAAAGTCGGAGAATGAAACAAAGACAATTAAAGGGACAAGAGTTTGCAAGGATAAATGTTTTGTTTGGAGAGATTTAACTTCTTGGAAGGGTAGGGGATTGTTATTAGTAGGAAAACTGTCCTCGTGAAACTGTCGGATAAGGCAGAGAAGAAGGCAAACATATTATTGATCCTATGCCACCTTTATTCACCCAAGTATTCGGATTTAACCTACAGGGTACTTTGACAAGTAGGGGACCCGTATTCTACCCCCATAAGTCCCTCTGAGTCTTGTCCTCCAGGGTTTTGACCTCCAGGGTGAACCCGTATCTTACAATTTCATTAATAGGAAATAGGAGCAGAAGAAAAGAAAATTTGGAGAGATAACCAACCAAATAATACCTTAAATTATTATCCTTTCCTAGTAAAACATGGATGCGGAAAGTGTTTGAAAAACGACAAAATTGAATGTATTGAATGTAAGGAGGATTATTGTAACACTGAAGATAAAGTTACCAAGCTTTGCTGGACAAATACTAAAGAAAAGTGTAAAACTAAAACTCCTTGTTATTCAATGAGAACATCAACAAATGAGGGTTAAAATTTGTTTACAAATGTGGTGCTTGTGTAGTTCACCCCCCATAAGTCCCGCCCCCTTTTTTTCTCGTTTCCTTTTCTAAGAAAAATGACATTTGGGTCAATATTTCCTTTTTACTCTGTTAGCTTACCTTATGGGAGCAAGCCAACCTACCGCGAGCCCAATCTACCGCCAGCAATTATTCCAAGAACGGAGAACCAACACGGGCGATGTTGTTTCTTCATGTGAAAATGTTGTTCCAACAAGCGGACATGCTGATCCAATACAGCAAGAGGTTGTTCCAACAAGGCAAAACGACGGTGAATCTTGTTGATCTTATTTAAAGGGAGAAGGAGAGAATAAAAGGGGCGGGGCTTATGGGAGGGGAACTACACAAGTAACATTAGTGTCTAAATTAAAAAATAAACTTTTTGAAGTTAAAAAGGGATGTGGAAAGTGTCCTTTCCATACATGTGAAGAATGTAATGAACATCTTTGTAATAATCAAGACCCCTTCTATTGTTTTGGCTTTATGGGTAGTAATAAAAAGTGTAAGACATCTGACTGCTACGTTGCTAAAATTGAAGAGAAGGATGGAGGTGTGTCCTTTCTTTATGTTTCTTTAAACAAGGGTTAGACCCCTGTTTCCGGAGCAGGGAAATCCCTGGAGGAAGCTCGAGAGAACTCCCGCCCCGTTCCCCGAACTCGAAGTCCCCACAACCACCCCTGTTCCCCGAATTCCCCGCAATCTCCGTTCCCCGAATTCACCACAACCCTCGTTCTCCGGATTCCCCGCAACCCACGTTCCCATAAGTCCCGCAACCCCGAATTCCCCATAACCCCCGTTCCCCGTAAAATTTCTCCCGCCCAGAAAGCCTACTTTAACTCCTTATATTTAGACGAGAAGATAGACCAATTCCACTATGATTGTGGAAAATGTCCATCAGGCATTCTCGACCTTTCTCCATACATCAAGACTAAAGATACAACACTCGCTAACAAACTAAAGAAAATTAATATGAGTAATGTCCAATGTGCCCACTGTAACAATAAGCCAGCTTGTAATGTCGACACATTCTTTGAAAGTCAATTGTTTTGTTGGGAAAAAGAGTTGAAACAATGGACTGGAACGAAGGGAAATAGAGTTTGTAAGAAAGGATTATGCTTTGTTGGGACTAATAAAAGAGAAATGGGTAAATTAGAATTTAAGGTATTTGTCGGTTATCTTTAAGTCTGGAGAGGAAGACTTTGTTCAAAGTTATCAAATCCAGAACTGGCACGGTTCGATGCGCCTCGACGAGCTGAATCGGACAATAGCAGGGCGTCCCGGATCTGATAGTTTTGAGCAAAGTTATAGCTCGGCTGCAGAGGTGTGTCGGAACAGTCAGAGGTGTCGGAACTCAAAAAAGCCGGAAATCGGAACTGGCTCAAAAGTCGGAACTCGGAAATAAAAAATTTTTTCGGAAATCGGAAGGAAAACGTCGGACTTAGGAAATCGGAATTCTGATTCACTTTTGCTCGGCTGTACATTGGGTTGCTCGCCAATGATGCGGAAATTACAAAATTCAGCCGGTTCCGGACCTTTTCCGATTCCACTTCCGGAACCTGAACCCCCGCATCTCTTGTGCCCGCATGGGATAACTGATACATACCAACTTTAATTATCCTTCCTAAACATTCTTCTACTTGTTTAATTTAAGGAATAGCGCAAGGTTGCGGTAAATGTTCTGACAAGCAACATTTAGAAAAATGTTTTGATTGTTCAGATTCACTCTGTAATGATGAGACAAAACTATCTCAAATCAAATGTTACCAGCTTAAATTCAATCAACAGCCTTATGTGGCGAAAGCTAAAACATGCCATCCCTCAATTGATAGTTGCTACATTGCTAGGGACGTCTTCTTACTGAAGAATCCCTAGAACCTATTTACTTTAGGAATCTACCCCTATTTATTCGCAAGCTTGAAAAGGCTCAAAATGGTCAACCATACCTATGGGTTTTGTCGAGACAGGGTTGTCGGTTCTGGACCGAACTGAACCGGAGAACCTATGATTTTTCGGTTCCAAGAAAAAAATTTTCCAAGAGTCAACGGGTGCTCGGATTAATGCGAATTAACATGGGCGTATTGTTGGCCTGTGATTAAATTGGGTTGTCATGCGAATAAATGGGGTAGGTACCTAAAGTAAATTTTATTGTCACTAACCCAAGTTTCCCTGACCCAAGTTTCCCAAACTGAAAGTCTGAGTTCAACTCGAGTATTTTTTCCTCTATCGTCTATATTCTAAGCATTTTTCTTCTGATTCCAAAAATAATCGCGAAAAATACTCCGCAAATAATACCCTCATAAAGGCGTTATCGTATAACTTGCATTAATTGCCCTCCCTCAAATAATTACCCCACTTTTATTAATTACCCCATACATCGATGGATTGAAATAATTACCCCAAACAAATACCCTAAAACACGTTTAAATTTCAAACCTCGTATAATTTCCCTCCCTCGATTAAGCACTCCCTCCAGTGGAAGGTCGAATACGGTATGTTACAGGGATGTGCCGAAACAGATTTTAAAAGGCGAAAGACGAAAGGCAAAAAGGCGAAAGTCATTTTGAAAAGCGAAACACAAAAGGCTAAAGACGAAACACCAAAAAAGACGAAAATATGGCGAAGGGAAACGGCACACCTCTGGTATGTTAGATTATGTAGATTAATTGTTTCTGTAGATTAGATTATTTCTGGTTATATTTATTATCTTCTAGTTCTATTAGAACATGGTTAATTAATTTTCAGATATTTTATTTTGTTGAATTTATGCTTAAAATTGGCGTTTGGCGCCAATTTTTGGCTGATTTTGCCGTTACGGCATTTGGCGTGTTTTAATAATTTGAAAGCTCTGAACCACACATCCTAATATCTCTCTAGATCCTCGAATCCATATTAATCCACGCTATCCCTTAATCCATCAGAATCCCCTGTTATCCCTCCGAATCTCCGATATCCCCCATACTCATTTCTAATCTTATTGAAATATAGGGACACAAAGTGCTGGGTATGTAACCGGAAAATCTCAGAATTATATTATTTATGCGCCACTGAAACCCTTAAAAATCTTAAAAGTTTTAAAATATTTCTGGGTTTCGACCTTCTGGGGTGTACCCGTCGTACCGCCTGATTAACCAAAGTAAAATTAATTTTTATTTAAAATAATTATGTGGGTGAATCATTAAAATGAAATATTTTTGTAAAAAAAAATTTATTTTCCCAAAACAGTCATTTTTTTAAATAAAAGTTTTTTAATCATTTAATTTTATAAAGTGCTATAACGCTTAAATCGTCCAGTCATTTTACTTTTTTAATAGATATTGAGAGTTGATTCTCTAATTGAAAAAATTTTTTTAATGAAGCTCTCTATAAGATACCCTTGTGGGTGGAAAAATAAAACCTTATAATGAAGTGTCTATTAAATAGAGGGTATCTCTTAAGCATCTTTCTTCACCCAGTGGTTAATCAGAGTTTAAATAACGTTACTTAAATGGAGAGGTTTCTTGTATTGAAAGACCTTATATCGAAATTAGATTGTAAGGAGGTGTACGTTAAATAGAGGGTGTCTCTTAAGCAGCCTCCATCCTGCGGACAACCAACTTTTAAAAGGGCTTCTAGAGAGAGGTGTATTTTGTATTGAGAAGGGGGTGTCTTATAAAGAGGCTTGAATTTATAATATATCCCTATAAAGGATACACTTCTATTTAAGATACGATTTTTTAAATTTGGTTAGCGACAGGAGGGAGAGAGCTGCCCAAGCGATGATAAAATAAGAGGCTACTCTTAAGGGGGTGTGTTAAATAGAGGGTATTGGCTGGGCGCCCCATCCAGCAATCATCCAAATTTTATAGGACGTCTATTAAATAGAGGTATACCTAGTATTGGATGTATCTTATAGAGAGTTTCAACTATATTTTTTTAAATTTTCAGAAAATTTTCTTAAAAATGTTGAAAAAAGAAGTTATTCTTTATATTCAAATTTTTCTAATTTTTATTTTTGAATATTTCAAAAATAAAGTTGTTGGGCAAGATATAACTCATGAGGATGAAAATAATTAGTAAAATATTAAATATAAATAATTAAAGCTTAAAATTAAAATTACTGTAATCCCTAGGGGCATTATTAAAAATCCTGGGGGAATTTTAATGCTGTAACACCTGGGGACACATTAAGTGGGGGGGGGGGGCTGTCCCATCAGAGTCGAAAATTTTTGGGGTCTGTCCGGGGTCGAGTTTCGACAAAATCGTACATGGCCGGGGTTAGACGGAGTCGGGGTCCAAGCCTAATTTTAAGACTAAGGGCCTGTTGAAAATAGCCAGAAAACACTCCTTTGTTACTTTGGTTAAGTGGGTTGTCTAACAAATTTGAGGTCTGAGGTTCGAGTCCGGTCGTCGATATCTGATTTATTTTTGACCTTAAAATATTCGAATATGTAAAATACACAAATAGAACAAATTTTCGAGCTTCTAAAATTTTTAGTGCTTATCTGACGGATATAATAAACACCCATCACGCGATCCCCTACGTGGCATATGATCAGTGCATGCTTCGCCCCGGACAAAAACATCAAGGCAATTTTGGATTTATTTTTGAAAGGCCAGGAAACTTGTTGTGCGATATGTATGTTAATAGAAATTTTCGAAAAATTTTCAAAATTTTTAAAAATTTCAAAAATTTCAAAAAAATTTCGAAATTTCAAAAAAAATTTTTGGCTAAACTACAGTTTCCGGTCCAGGCTCATAATTGGACGATTTATATGTCATTCGAAAGAGCTCGGCGAGCTGAGTCGAACGACACCAAAATTATTCAGCGGAAAAAATTCTGAGTCGAGTTACAGACCCCTAAAGTTCAAAAAACCATAGGGGGGACCAAGCTGTTTTTGGGGGTGAAAAATTCGAATATGCAAATTATACCTCATTCGAAATAGCTCGTCGAGCTGAGTCGAATGACACCAAAATCAATGGAATCCGACTTGATTTGAAAAAGTTATGATCTTTTATTTTAGCTCCTTACCTATGGCATCTGTGGAGATTTTTGCTGCTACGGAGGCCCCAATACATCCAGAGCAAGTGAGATAGGAATAGGTTTATGTTACGAGCCCAGACCCAACGCCCGTAGACTCCCTGCGAGGCGCGTGCCGCAAAATCCCGCGCAAAGCGCGGGGTTTTGCACAAGCGCCTCGCCGATGCCCCATAGGTTTAGGTTTTAGTTTTTCTATCGTAACTTTGTCCAAACTTGTCCAATCGAGCTGATTTTGGTGTCATTCAACTCAGCTCGTTGAGCCCTTTCGAATGAGCTATTATTTGTATATTCGAATTTTTCACCCCAAAAATGAGCTTATCCCTCCTTTGATTTTTGACCATTTCGAGCCCTATATCTCGGCTCAGAATTTTTTCCGCTGAAAAATTTTGATGTCATTCGACTCAGCTCGCCGAGCTCTTTCGAATGACATATAAATCGTCCAATTCTAAGTTTGGACCGGAAACTGTAGTTAGGCCAAAAATTTTTCAAGGCTTTTGATTTGCTACCCCGGCCAATTAAGTGGAAACAACACATTAAATGGTCTGGTAACAACAATTCCATACCGTATGGCGAAGCATGAAGTAAATTTTTTAAAGTTTTGGCGTTCCGTTTGGGCGTTATTTTCAAATTCAAAAAATGGCGTTCTGTGAGGAACGCAAAAACAGGCCACAGATTTTAAACACTATTTAAATTCCAGGCAAATCCAATAAGCCGATTATGTGCAGAAAAACGTAAAAAACATTGTGAAGTAGGTGGATGTACTGCTGGTAAAGCTCCCTTCCACATCTGGCATGGAATTATGCTCAGTTCGAAATATGAGAAACCTGATGGTTTTAACGAATCAATCTTCACGACGACAATTAAATTGTCCTTCACCAACAAAGAGTTGAGGGGATTTATAATTAATTATCTATCAGGCATTCGACAGATAAATTCCCCTGACATGATAAACCTCTTTCTTGGAGGGGGGGGGGGGTAACCTTTCTATGGACCCCCTTACTATTTTGTTATCAACCCAGAATTTATTTTTGAGAGCTGAGGCATATTGCACAGAGCGATATTACAAGTGTCAACTCATGGCATTGCCAGATGTCATGACATTTATGCAAATGTCGTCTTGTAGAATAGTCCCCTGACTGTTCTACCCATCATCGTTTAAAATAGAGTAGCAACACAACCATTTCGGGTCTGGAGTGTCGGGAATCGGTTCGAAAGAAAGTTCGAGTACTGTGGGGTACCTTTCCGTTCCATAGATTCTGTATTGGAATTGTCCCAGTCCATTTGGTGTTTGGTTGTTATCCTAGTTTAAAATTTAGATATGTTCTGAACAAGACCTCGCTATTCGCAATTGAACTTGGAGATAAGGACCATTTCGCTTCGCGTGTTCGTGAAATGTCCAAAGAAGTCAAAAATGGAAAAGTCAGACTTGTGCCTGGAGATATAATTAGAATGGGCGATGGAAGGAAGCTCAGTGAAAAATTTTATGAACATGTTAACATTGGGGCTTATTTGCACAATTACACCGGGATTTGGACCCTGGGATTGGATATGTTGCCAACAACTGGGCAACGAACTTTAAATTTGTTTGTGTATAAAGGGTGTGCATGTGGGATGGAGGCATGGGTGGGTTTTTAAAAGATATACGGTCGGATACACACACCCAGTGCTAGAGGATTAAAAGGGATATCAGGGATTTGGGGAATTGTGAGGTATATCGGGGAGGGGGAGGATAGAGAAGGATATCAGGGCTTGATAGGGGTTAAGAGAAATATCAGGGATTAGTGTGGATTAAGAGTAATAGCGGGGGATTTGGGTGGATTAAGAGGGATATCGAGGGATTTGGGTGAAGAATGATATTAGAATTTGTGGGGAAGTGGTGAGAGGGGATTAAGAGGGATATCAGAGATTTGGAGTTTTAAGGGATATATCGGGGGTTTGGACTATTAAAGGGATATCTCTTTATTTAAGATACTCTTATTATATGCTCCGAGTGTTATCGAAGTTTTCCGAGGGTTAACTAATTCTAATAAAATTTAGTTTAAAATGCCAACAACGCCTCCATCATTAGCACCAGAAATTGTATACATAGAGCCGAAAGGTTATGAAGGAGATGACTGGGGGAAACTTTACCACGATAAGGATTGCCAAAACAGATACACAGATAAAACAACATACCCTCTGGGAAACATTACTGAAGGGGAGTTATTAGTCAATTTTACATTGTGGACTAGTAGTAAAGGAAAGAATGGAACTATTGAAGTGTTCCATGGAACGAAAAGCATTATTCAACTATATGCAAATGCAACAATGATTACTCACCGTTTTGAGGTAAATTGTATATCAAAATAGGCCGGGAAGCTCAAATCTAGACACTGTATTTTCTCTAAAATCCCTGGAAGCATAATATGTAGTCCGAACGGACATGTTCTCTTCAGCCTATAAAAGGACATGTTCTCTTCAGCCTATAAAAGGACATGTTCTCTTCAGCCTATAAAGATAAAGCTGGTCGGGCGCTATTTTGAGCTAATGTGCCCTTCACCTAAGTAAAATAATTTTGACTTTATTTTAGGGTAAAATTGTAAAAGAATTCCCACAACCTGTGAATATGCTTGAAAAAGGAGTAACTTTGTTCGCATCTTTTCGCCTTACAAAATATTATGTTTGGTCCGGGTTTTCAAGTAACTTATGGGGAACTGAGTTTGTTGTTACCAAATATTGGCCTGAAACTAAATGGTGGGATGGACAGTTATTTAAAGGAAAAGGAAGCAACACATTGCAAATTTTTGGAGATTTTGTTACGGTTACTCCAGTGTTTATTCGAACGCTAAATTATGATGATATTAAAAATGTAAGGAATAATTTTTAGTCTTAATTAGACAGTTAACCCCGAACCCTGATATTTTTGTCTAGAACCCCTACTCCGATCAACTCCTACTACAATTATCATTCGACTCAGACCGACAAGCTCTATCGTTCTATTCACTGACCATTCTGTACATTTAGAACAAAAAATAGGGCATGTGGTACGAAAGTAATGTTGAGCAAAAGCGTTTAGACAAGATGTTACAAATCGATGCCAGCCAGAGGTGAATCGAAATTTCGATTTCTGAAAATTTAGGCTTATTTCTATTTCCCAGTTTCAACTCTTAACCCATTTCCGAGTTCCGACAGTTCCGATTTTCGGCACTTTTACCTTTTTATTACTACAGCTATAAATTTTTCTAATTTAGCTGTCTAAAGATTATGAACATGTTGTTGATGGTGGGCGTACATTTGATATTCAAACAATTTATAATGAAAATGTTACATTTCGTTTTCGTTGCAAATACCGTGGATTTACAATTGAGCTTCGATTAATTTCTAAAAGAAAGCCTATCTTGTCGTGGCACACTCTCACAGACGCAATAGAAACAGAGGATTACAATGTGAGTATATATTGTAGGATTTATTCCCCGAAATGTCTCAATCTGAGATTTAACTGACCCAGTTTTTTGGACAAAACGAAGGTATGAGGTTTTTTTCGACCCAAGTGTCGAGGACCACAGGCTACTTTTTTAAAATTATGGAAGGAAAAATGACTGACCATTTCGTACTTCAGCTAAATCGAGGACTGGAGGAGGGGGAGGGGGGGGGGATAATACCAGGTCGAGGCTACCCTAATGAATGGATGGTTTTTTGTCCTCTAGAGGTTAATTTTCAACCAATTTTATTTTCAACCAATTTGTTTTTTGTCCTCTAGAGGTTAATTTTCAACCAATTTTATTTTCAACCAATTTGTTATAATTTTCAAACCAAATTTTAGACTAAAGAAAAAAGACAAACCAACACTAAACTTTTTCAATTTGGAAAGCCAAAAGTTTTCGAATTAAACATTATTGCAAACAAAACAGGCAATATGACAAAATATGTATTTGAAATTAATGGAAAAATATATCCTCATAATACATTAATATTGCCAGTACCAACTTGGAAGATTGATCAAATTATGGTAGATTTTATTGGGAGTTGGGACAGCGTACACTTAGGGCTAGTAAACCCACAGTACCCAGTCTGAAAGACCCACCATCAATTCATCTTATTGGGCCAAGGGCTAGGGCCTTGTAAACTAGTAAGAGCCACGAAATCAATTGTAATGTCCATGCTCTGCAGGGATGTGCGTCATGACGTTTGGCGTCCATTTTCGGCCGATTTTTGGCGTCCGGATATCCGAGGATTTCCACCTATCCGACAACCTTATTAGGAAGCCCTAGAAGAGACTTGAAAATTCTACATAGTAAGAGCCACTAGTGTTAGGTATGTGTAGGTTAGTATAAAAGCAGCCAGTAGAAATCGGTCTTGGGTGGCATTCGCCCCTGTCCTTAGTTATTTTAGCCTTTTGCCACCTTCGCTATTCTTGTATTTACTATTCAGATAAACGTGTTATTCTATTCTTGTGTTATTCTGTTAGTCACTAGGTAAGACTTCATCCTAGGACATAACACCTAGTAATGTCCCTGCCGTGTTACAAATTCTAACAAAGGTTTATAATTAAGGTAAATAGTGATCTTGAATTATTCGACTATAAAATAACTGAAGAAGAATTAGAAATGCCAAATAAAAAATTTAAAAAATATTTGCCTGATCTTAAAGAATTTGGAAATATTGTCTGTCTTGAGGGAAGAGTTCCAGAGGCAGAAAATATGGCTGGAGAAAAAAGTTTTCAAGTATACCTTCTCAACGATGAGAATGACTTTAGTGAGATATGTGAGAGATTATTCATTTTAATTATTATGAATATAGTCGAATCTCCTTGTAAGATACACCATTTTGTGTTTTTTGTGTTTGACCCAGAGGAGTACCCAGAACTTGGAGAGAATATTTTAGAGCTCTCTTTATGAGTGGTATGTTAAAAAGAGGATAAATTTTAGGGAGCTCTCTTCACAAAAAAGAGTAAATTCCCTTCACGCAAGGGACAACCAAATCTTGAAAAATGAGGTCGTATATGATGTACCTTGTCTATCTGGATAGGTGTATATGGCAGAGGAGGATAGTGTATTGAGAGTATATCATAATAAGGGTTGACAGTATAAGATCTTTAATGATTAACAATTAAAAATCCGGCTCTTTTAAAGATGGAAACACGGCATTAATGTTAGATTTTGTGTTTGACCCAGAGGAGTACTCAGAACTTGGAGAGAATATTACTTATACTCAAGGAATGAACTCGGCTTTATACATCAACAGCTATCATCGTCGTAAAGGAGGTTGGGGAAAGAATAAAACTCACAAAAACCCAATTGGACAAACCGATGTGCCTGTAACTATTCAAATAATTGCTGACACTCATTACTTCAAGATAAGCATTAATGGAGCTACAGATTTCATTTACCACAAACATCGAATTCCTGCATGGACTATAAATTATGCTATGGTAGGTTGTTTTTCACAGTCTGGCCTTAATACAGTCGGCCCTTAATATTCCTCATGTAGTATAAAACTCGATGGGTCATACGAAAAATCCCGATCTCGATAACCGAGATTTTCGATCGAGATCTCGTCTCAGTCCGATCTCTAATGTATACATAGTATAATACTCTTCTTCCAATACCAGAGGAGTATTACACTCTAGTCACTTATTATGTTTAAATCGGTTCCGAGGATGTGATATTTAATATTCAGGTCACGGGCTATATACAAGACATCGACTTTTTGGAATCTACCTCTGAAAAGTGCTTACTGGTTGAAGAATATAAATTGCCTTCAACAATAATTAGAACGGAGAAGTTAGAAAAGGGAGATCAAATCATAATTAAAGGACAAGTTCCAAATCCATTCAGTGGAAGTATCTTTGTTACTTTAATGCACAGGACTCTCGCTATGAATTTAGAATGTTAGTATAAACTAGGGTAACACCCCATCCCTCGAAACCATGACCACCGACGAATTTTTAGCCAAAAACCCCGACATGAACCCCGAAAGCTCAACCCCCGATCACGAAGGCTCGGGGTGCTACCCTAGTATAATCTAGAGACCGAAAATTGAGAATCGAGAATTTTTCGAAATCTCGATTCCCGTACAACACTCCCAGTCCGGTCTCTAGTATAAACCTATCTACTTTTTACATTTTTGTTTTTAGTTGGACAAATCATTTACGGTCTAAAGATATACAGTAATCGAGCCGAAAGCAATGCATGGGTGGTTAGTATTTTATTTAAAATTTACAGCTAGGGTTTCCAAAAATATACGCGGAAAATTTCACGTATATTTGATTGCTACATACGATAAAAAGTGGAAGTTTAGGGGTGTTAATAGACCTGGGCCGAGCCGCCTGTCCTTCATTATTCACCGCCTGTCCTTCAGGCGGTGAACCGCCTGTCCTTCATTATTCTCGCCTTTTGCCATTTCCGTTATTTTTGTAGATATTTACTATACGGCTAAACGTGTATACTAGGTTAGATCGCACCCTAGGACATAACTGGGGTTTGCCCTTTGCTGTTTTTGGAAACCCTAACTATATACATAGCTAAATTATATACCTAATTAGAATGGTAACTGGAGTCAAAAAGCACAGGACAACAAGAATAATGCAAATAATTCTGTCATTCTGAAAGCTGGAGATAGAATTCGGATTAGCATTAATTTCGAAGGCTATAATGATATTAAACCAATTATTGAAACTGAGGACTATATTGTACATGACAAAATAGTCTATTCTTATTCATCAGATTATGGAATTGATTTGATTAAATATATCGGGGTAGGAAAATATAAATAAAATATATACGCTAGTTTTCGACCCCCAGTTTTCCCCTAGTAGATACCCTTTTATTCAAAATAAGTTTTCAGACTTGATGGCCACTGTCTTGACTATACCCTCTTTGAGATATAGTTCACTATAAGTTAAGATTTTTTGTCCTGAAAATCTTAAGGTTCAATATTAAAAATATAAAAATATTTAAGGTCAGAAGATTGGAAAAAATTGTTGGAACAGATTTTATTAAAATAAAAAGAAAATTGAATTAAATAAATCCCAAAATGATAAAATCAAAAATCTGTTAATAACTTATATAATATTTTAAGATTGATAAAGAGTATTTTTTGCTATTTTACACATTTATTTTTACAATATTTATAGTATAACTGGCATTAATAAGGGAATTTTAAATAACGGGAGCAGTCCAATGTACCGCAAGTTCAACGTACCGCAGAGCTATAACTTTGTTCAAAATCTTCGAATCCGGGGCGCTTTGGAATGGTTCGATAAGCCTCGAGGAGATGAATCGAACCCTGGGCGTCCCTATTTGACACCCCTGCGGTACATTGGGGTGTACAAAGAATTAAGGTTATATCCCGGCTCAAAGTGACTTCGAAATAACAAGTCTTTACACTAGCAAGTTCCGAGAATAACAAGGTACGATCAATAGCAGGGTCCTCTATCGAATGGTCCTAAAGATATATCGAAGTCAAAGTCACAGTAAACGATAGTGTCTTATCAGTTTACTCTGTATTTCACTAAAATCTTTCGCTGAAACTTCAGTAAAGTAAAAACGAATATTTTAAAAAAATTTTATTAACCGACGAATGATTTTGATGGTCAAATTTTCTTGAGAATTTTTAATCGAATTTTAAACTTTATTAAAATATTTTTTACTTTATTATTTTTATAAGCGTCAGCTGTTATTATTTTGTTTTTATTTTCATTGCTAGCTTTGTCTGTTTTATTGACAAGTTACTTACTAAAAAACTATTTTATACCCCAAAAAGCTTTGAAGAGGATATCACTAATATCTGTCCTCTCGAAGACATTGATCTAGATTTACTAAATTTTCAATTTAAAATTTAAGTGCCATGCGAAAACAAAGAGGAGTTGATCGAAATTTGGATGTTGTATGTCATTATTATCTCATTATAAGTTATAAGTTACCTTCAATGTTAGATACACCCAGGATTTTAAGAATTCGGGTGGCCATTAGCGATCGAGACTTTTGAAAAGGCTGGGCCTGTTCCTGGGTTCCGGGTTTGATTTATTGACCTGAGCCGGATCCTGAGCCTGTAGTCCAGGAAAAACCCAGGCCCAGGTAGAAGGTCAAAAAATGCCTGTCAAAAAGGTCAAAAACCCCAGGCCTTGGGCCAGCCCAGCTCAATTCTAGTGCCCATTGAGTTGAGGAAGCTGCTTGGGCCTCCATTTAGGATACATCTCATTATGAGATCCCAATACCTATCAGACTTTGATCTAGATTTACCTCCTATACTAGACACACTTCTATTTATGATATGTTTCTTTGAATTTGGCTTGTTATTGGATGGGAGAGCTTAGTAAGTAGTGATACCTTCTATTTAAGACATCCTCTCTAAAGTCGTACTTTGAGCTCCAAAGAGAGGAGCACTTGAGGTTCGATAGTAAGGGTTTCCTATAGTGAGGTCTCTGTCATATAATAGGTCCATAGCGGTTTGGTACTCTGGCAGCAACAAAAACCAGCAACAACCTCTTTTGGTTTCATCGTTGGGCGTGAACGTATTGCTCGGTTACTGTTAACTAAAGGTATCTTAATGATTTTTTCCAAATTCCTAAAATATTTAAATCTCTTGCTCTCGTTTAGCAATATAAAGGGAGATTCTCTCACCTCATGAAAATTTGGAATAAAATCCTTAAAAGATAGGTCTCTCACTTCCTGAGAGCAATGTCACTCGCCTCTTGAGGGAGGGGTCACCTACTTCTTAGAAAGGTCTCACACCGTTCTCTCTCTCTCATCTCTCACAGTCTCTCTCGCAGTCTCTCTCATCTCTCACCGTCTTTCTCTCACCTCTCATCTCTCACCGTCTCTCCCTCATCTCTCACAGTCTCTCTCTCATCTCTCACCGTCTCTCATCTCTCACCGTCTCTCATCTCTCACCGTCTCTCTCATCTCTCACCGTTCTCTCCCTCATCTCTCACCGTCTCTCTCTTTAATCTCTTACCGTCTCTCATCTCTCACCTTATCTCTCTCGAGATAAGAGGACTCTCATCTCAAGAAAGGGATTGTTTTATTACACCTTAGAGGAGAGGTCCCTTGCCTCTTGAGAGGGTCTCCTACCTCTTGCGGTGAGTGGTCTCTTATTTTTGAGATAAAGTCTCTTTTATAAATTCCTCCAAAATATTCCAGACCAACTCAACGTCCAATTACCCGTTAATGACGAGTCTGCAAAAGAGTTTGCAGATGCTCAACAGCATCAAGGGATTGGACGTTCACCCGCAGCAAAATTGAGCGTTGTAGATTTAAATAGTGAACAGCAAGTAACTCTTAGAACAGTAAATGTGCCTAAAGGGCCTGAGGGACTTGGACTTTCTATTAAAGTTGGAAATTGATGAGTTAATTGTTTTAGTTTGTGTTTTAGGGAGGAAGTGAGGGAACACATCGAGTGCCGATAGTGATCTCTAAGGTAATTTTGTTCATCTTTTTAAGTTATTCACATATTTCTAAGGCATAAACAAGCCCTTTCCCGATTCCTATAAATCGAACGGTTAAGTACTCAGGGTACCTAACAGTCCTGGAATCCAGGCTCGGGGTTCTGGTTCCAGGAGGGGTCCCAGGAAACTTAGCTATCCACACAATCTGTTTGGTTTCCTTGTCCCAATGGAAAGATACTCTTTAGTTTCCTTAGTTAACTAATCTAATGGAAAGAATCTCCGAGTGACCAATGAGAGACGGTCCCAGAATACAGACAGGTCTTTGAAAAACCTTTGGATCTCTGAAGCAAAACCCCTCGGTTCTCCGGATCGGATCGGTCCTTGACCCTTATTAACTAAGCTTATCGAAAAAGTGTTAGAGTGACCGATACTATGAAGGGAAATAAAATTTTTTAGTAAGAGAGACCTTTCAAATCCCCTCTCGAGGTTTCCAAAGAAGAAATTCCAGTAAAATCAAATTTAAACTACAGGTCCTTCCCGGCCTCTCAGCAGCCAAAACTAATCAAGTATTTGTTGGCGATTTAATTGTTGAAGTTAATGGAATGTCTTTGGAGGGGAAAACGCATGAGGGTTCTTTGAAAATTTTTAAAATTGTCAAAAATATTTTTAGAGGTTGTCCAGCTTCTTAAAGATTCTACTGGCTCCCACGTTACGTTAACTCTAAAACGTGACAGCTCCGCCTCTCCTCTTTTTCGTAACACTGCGGAAACTTCTCCTGTTTCTGACCATGTTACTGTATTTAAGGTAGGGTTTTTGAGAAGAAAATCTATTGAGGAGAAATACCTCTATGTTACGTACACTTGTGTAACGCTGGTTAATAATAGGTTTTGATCTAACAGGGTCCAGTTACGAATTAGAGACTGGACTGTGAAATAAATACGAGACTTGAGCTCATCTTAAGACCTTCATGATGGTTTCAAAGGCCCAGCCCTCCCTAGATCCGCTGGGAAGGTGAGAGTATGTTCTTAGAGTACTTCAGAAGGTTTCAAATTTTGCCTTTATACAAACAGTGATCTACCAGCCTAATTCCCTAGAATCGGGAAGTTCCGACGTTTCTTTAGGAATTCCGATTCACTGAATCACTGAACTGAATTCACTGAATTAGATTTGTTTGTAGTGTCGTTCCTGACCTGAAGAGGTATAGGGAAGATATTTGGTGAGGAAGTATTACAGGGAATTGTCAAAAGTTTCAAACCCTCTCCTCTGGAACATATTGAGATACAAGTAGAAAACGAGTACTAGATCTGTCATGGAACGTGTTGGAGGGTTGGGGTCTCTACGGCTCAGTCCCTCGTGGGTAGTTCCGTTGGATGACTACAGTCTCCTAGAGTGTACGTAATATCACGTTCCTAATTTTAAAAAATAATCTAATTAAGAGCGCTTTAAAAACCCCAATGTTATACCAACAATCTCCAAAACTCGAAGAAAAAACAATAATTATAGAAGAACCCCAAAACAATTTAGTTTTTGAAAGTGAAGATGATGTTGTTGGAAATGGAGGAGAAAAATGGAAAATGATTTGTAAAATACCTTTACCTCTAGCTTTTGTTAGTAGGTATTTGTGGGCAACTGATAAGCTTAGGTATGCATTTGAATGATTCAAAAGCATATTGAGATACTTGGAATGGGATAAATCTGTCGTTGAAAGGATTGGAGGGTTGGGGTCTCTTATCCGAATGAAAAATGAGATCTCTCTTCTCTCTTTCATCTCTCTCATCCGAACGGCCCAACCCTTCCTGAACCTAGATTCTTTGAGGAGGTTCATCGTCCGAACGTTCGCTCGTGGGCATAGTTCCGCTGGGAGAACAAGATCAATCGTGGGTCGGGGGTGGCAGGGTTGTACTCCCTCGCCGGTTGTTCCCCTAATAATCCCTTGTACTCCTCAACTCCCTCATGGTTGGGGGTTTTTCCGTCATGGGTCGGGTTGGGTTACTCCCGGGGGATTAACTTTAATTTAAAAATTGAATTTTTCAAGAAGTAATGCATTCGAAGTCCGTTCAGTAGATAGTCGTTCTTCAGGCATTATCCACTGTGAAGATCGCAAAGCTCTTGAAGTTCGTGATTTTCTAAATTTACATAATTTAAATTAAATTTTAAAGCAATGGGTCCAACATATCGACTCTCACATAAATGCTTTAAATCGGAAAACTATTAGAATGAGTAATAAATATTTACATGCATCTGATAGAGTAATTTAGATTTAAGATAGAGTCGAACCTCAGTTAAGATACTCCAAATACTATATACTCCCATCACCTATGACAGTCTTCCCCCCTTACTGGTTACTCACTGGGTTCCTTGCTCCTTGCTGGTTTTGCTCCTTGCTGGTTACTCACCGGGTTCCGCTAGATTAGAGAGAGAACGAGAAGGAACCCGGTTACTCACCGGGTTCCTTGCTCCTTTGCTGGTTTTGCTCCTTGCTGTTTACTCACTGTTCCTCCCCTATAGACCATCATACTAATCATCCAGTACTAACACACTTCCCCACTGGAGACAGCCCCTTCCCTCCCCTATGACAGTCTTCCCTCCCTCTCATTGGAGACTGTCGACAGTCCTCTAATTAGTAAATGTCCTCTCCTCTACTGCTAGGCAATCTCTCTACCCAATATTTGGCAAGCACTCCCTGGGTCAAGCACTCCCTACAGTCAAAGAGTCCCTCCCCGGTTCCTCCTTCAGTCCCGGGCACATCTCGGGACTGTCAAAGGAATGCCTAACCGATTCCTTAATTTAATATACCTCACATAGTAAGGTTCAATTTTGAGCTCCAAGAGGATATCTTATAGTGAGGTCCGACTGTATAAAATTCTAAAGAGGGGGTAAATAAATCATCATGCGTCTCTTTTAACATTGCTTTTTACACTCATTTATTTTTCATTGTATGAGACTTGGGAAAAAACTTGATTATTTCGCAGATAACTTATTTTTAAATATAAATCATTTGTGCTTTAATCTTTTTCGTGTTGGAAGTGAAATTTTCATCATGGACTCTCTATTGAATTTTTTTCAACTTTGGTCTTATAAATATTATATGATTTTTTATTTAATAAGCAAATGAATGTTCATTCTAAAAAGCAAATTAAGTGTTAGGTTATTTTATTTTTCAATTATTATTCCATATTAAACTATTTTTGATATTTTCATAATTCGTTAAAAATCTTTACGAATCTGATATCTATTTCTAAATGATTATCTCGCCGCAATATCCAATTCTACTTGATCTGTATATATTTATTTTTTTCGAATATTTATTTTTTTGTCTATTTAAGTCTATCAATATAATTATTAATATATCCACGATTTGGAATTATTTGTGAAATATTTTATAAATTCAGAGCATTTCCATTTGTTTGCTCAAAAAAGATCCAACAAACCGGTAGGGTATTGGTTTTTCAACAATAATAGATACTCCATAATTTGATTTCATTGATTATTTTTTGTCAAATATAGACCAAAATTTCACAATAAAATTTCACGTAGCAATTTATTACTCCTTACAATTTTACTAGCTATTACTTGATAATAAGAAATATTAAATAATTTTTTACATATTTACACTTAATATATTTACACTTTAATATACTATTTAGTTGCAATCTTACATACATAAATTTTGTGGTAATTATATAAAGTTAACATCATTCTTATTATACACTAATATATGTTATACGTTTAAATAAGATAGATTTTATTATAAAGTACTTCATTTAAAACGAAAAACTAGGTTTGCTATGGCTTAGCAAATGCGGACGTTTGAATTTTTATTTACAATTTGTAATCGAATACATTATTGACTAACATGGAAAATTTCGAAATTTCAATAAACTAGGTAAATGTGAATTCGTAAGATATTTGGAGCGTAAAAAACTTTTACTTAATTTTCATATTTATTTAATTTGTTTATGTTTTTTCATTTAATTGTATCTTCCTTTTTGTATTTAAATAGTTCTAATTAATAATTATTTGTTGCAAAATAAATTATTAAATTTATAAATAATCATTTTCATAATAGGACTCTATTTGAACTATGAAAGTGTTTTTGATGGAAGGTAGAATAAATTATTGCAATGAAAGGAAGCTTAAGTCAATTTGGAATTAAAGATACATGAGTATTCTCACTCAACCTTTGGATTTTTTTTCATATATTTTAGTTTTTTTAGAATTTATATTAATTTAATGAATCGTTATCACGAGACCCACGTTTTCGCTGTTGTTGTCATTTGATTTGTCCTTCGTGACAAAATTAATAGTTGTAATTTAAATAGTTGTAATTTAAATAGTTGTAATTTAGTTATATAGTTGTAATTTAAAGCTTCATTTATAGTAAATGTTCGCCAAGAGGAACGATTCGTAAGGGTATTGAAATCTAATATTATGCCTAAAAGCTCACCCTTTAATATATTATTATTTTAATTTTGAATTTAATATAATTTTTATAATTTTGATCCATATTTTAAGATTTTTAAACTTTATTTAGCAATTTTTAAATTTTTATAATATAAATTTTTAGTTATGAAAATAGTAGTTGAATGAGTCACGATCCTGGAATTTAATATAACTAACTAGTTTTTTCTAATGTTAAATTTTTTAAATTTTTACTCCAGCTTTTTACTATTTTTACACTAAACTTTTTGCAATTTAATTGCAAAGGAAATTCTAAATTGAAATAAATATTTACAAAAGTATTTTTAATTAAATTTGATATATTTTTAAATAAGATTTCAATTAAACACGTGATTTTAAATATTCCTTCAATGGTTAACCAAATCGACGTGAATTTTGTTAATATTTCTTAAAATTTATCTGTTACAGTACATTATAAGCATTTTTAATTTTTACCATTTTTACAAACTTTTAATCACTAACAGTAAAAATTTTACTAGATATTTTTAAAATTAATTTTATAATGCCATGTTTAAATAAAAACGCTTTAACAATATATTTATAATAAATATTTATTATAAATTTAGAAATTATAATTATTTCTAGCATTAAGCCCTATTATTTAAAATAAAAAAATATTTATCAAAAAAAATATTTACAATTTTGGGGGCAGTATTGTATGAAAAATTTAATTTACCGTTTCAGCTTTTGTCTTTTTGGTAATTAACTCGGATTTTGAATTAAAATTGGGTGTTATTACATATAATGGAGTGTTATTTATAATAAAAAATCAAAAATTTGGCTCGAATTTTGTTTTGAATTTTATAAAAGTTATCTTTTTTATCCTAATATTTTTAAATTATTTAGTAAATGTACTATATTGAATCACAATAAAACAAAAATATTTAAATTATAAATTCTTAAAAAATAGTAGGTCAATTTTATAGACATTACTTTTTTTTATTTTTTGTTTAAAAACCTTTGGCATACATATATTAAGTAAGATTTGACCTTTTTCTTTATATTGCCCTAATCAAAAATAAAGAGAGGGAAGTTAATTATCCAAACAGTCCAAATTAATTTAATAATATTAAAAGTTATCTATTATTAATTTGTTAATTAATATATTAATGATTCTATTAGATATTAAAAGTTTCTATTACAAAAGTTTCTATTACATTACTTTAAAAAATAGTAGGTCAATTTTAAAAACCTTTGGCATACTATTACATATTAAAAGTTTTCAAATTAGTATTAAAAGTTTATTATTACATATTAATTATATACATATTAAAAGTTTTCAAAAACTCATTTACACCTCATTCAGCGAATAAACAGCATCATTTGAATACGTAAAAATATTATACAAATTTTATAAATAACTTTTTAATTTAGCAAAGTTTCGTAAACTTATTCTTCAATATGTGCTACGAGTTCGGATAAGTTAATTT